GCTTTGTCCGGATCCCCAGGGCTGCTGTGGAGACCCTTGGCATCCCTTGCTTCCTGGGAGGGATGGCACGAGGACTGCTGGGCCGCAACCACCCCCTCCACATCCGGCAGAACCGTAGTGCTGCCCTGAAGAAAGCAGATGTTGTCCTTCTGGCAGGTGGGCCTCGGCCTCCTCTGCCCTCTTCCCTTCCCCTCCCTCCAGGCCCCCCTGCCCACTGCCCCCACCTCTGTGACCCTGCCCCTCCTAGTCAGGTACTTACTGGCACCCAGCCCTACTAATCACTAACCTACTAATCACCTACCGTCTTATCTTGGGCCCCACCCCTTCAGCTTTCAGGGCTTTGGACAACTGTGTACTTCAAGTCCAGGTAAACTCTGGCAAGGTTGGAGTTGTGTTGTAGGCTCAGCTTCGTGCAAAGGAGAATGCACGGATAGTGGGTACCTGCAGTATTTATATTCAGCATTTGCATTTATACGGGGTTTCTGTAGCATAAACCTGTATGTCATGTACATTCTCACATAAAGTATTTGGACTCCAACACGTAATAGTTGTATCAGTTTGCTGTTGTGTAGTAACCATGGCTAAACTCAGTGACTTAAAATGAACTTATCATTACTTAAGGTGGTAGTTTTCCAGGTTTTGATGGGGCTCACTGATGAGTCTGTAGTTGGAGAGGCAATAAGGCATCTGGGCTGATTAGGCTGGGCTGCTGCATATACTTGGCCTTGGCGGACTACAGATTAAGCTGCCATGGCCTCCGCTGGGATAATTGAGTTCTTTTGCTCTTCCCTGCCTTTTCCTCCAGCTTTCTCACCATCCAGCGGGCCAGCCTGGGCTTGCTCACTTGGTGCAGGATGAGAAACATGCAGGGATAGGAGAGTGAGGTTTTTAAGAGAGAGACAGCAGAAGCCACAATTCTTGAAGCTTGGTCTCAGGAACGCTTGCCTTCACCTGCCACACTTTATTGGCCAGGGCATGTCCCCGAGGCCAGCCCAGATTCGAGGGGTGGGGAGCTGCGAAGTCAACTGCAGGTGGTACTGGTACAGGGAGAAAGGAAGAATAGGGACCCTTTTGCATTTAGTCTGCTATGGTGGATTAAGTAAGGTGGTGGGATACTGGCTGTCCAGCCACTGAGCCCCTGTTCCCCACTCCAGGAGCCGTGTGTGACTTCCGCCTGTCTTATGGCCGTGTCCTTAGCCGCAGCAGCAAGATCATCATTGTCAACCGTAACCAGAAAGAGATGTTGCTTAACTCAGACATGTTCTGGAAGCCCCAGGAAGCTGTGCAGGGTGAGCTCCTGGGACCCACCCCACCTTCCGCCCCAACACATATATGGGCACCCAGTCAGCCAGAGACACGGGCTTTCAGACTGATGGGTGCTTCTGGATGAACAAACGGTGGGGTGTGCATAAGAGGGAAGGCCTGGGAATGTGCATGTGATCGTGCTCCTGGTTGGAAAACCTCCCATGTTGCCAGCTTCCTGGAGGACAGAGAACTCCCTCCTGGGCCCCAAGGCCTCTGTTGTCCTGCCATACCATCCTTGTTCAGTCTGCTCCCATAGCCTTTATGTGCTCTTCTTTTTTTTTTTTTTAAAGATTTTATTTATTTATTTGACAGACAGAGATCACAAGTAGGCAGAGAAGCAGGCAGAGAGAGAGAGGAGGAAGCAGGCTCCCTGCAAGCTTCAAGAGAGCCCGATGTGGGGCTTGATCCCAGGACCCTGGGATCATGACCTGAGCCGAAGGCAGAGGCTTTAACCCACTGAGCCACCCAGGTGCCCCTTTATGTGCTCTTCTTTGCCCATCATTCCAAACACATTGATGGTACTACATGGATCTCTTGGATCAAGCAGAGAAGTGGCATTGCTACATTCATGTTTGGGAAGGTCCACTGTAGTAGCTGGTAGGCAGTGAGTCAGAGAGGGCAGGTGGAGGCCAGGGGCCTGTTCAACCAGGCCAGGACAGAAAGGATGAGGCCTGGAGCGGGCACAGACAGGGATGACAAATTCTGCTTCTCTGCGCTTACGTGGGATCATTTCTAAGACCAACATGAAAAGTACATCACTGGCCCATTTCTCAGTCAGTTCACAAGCATGCTGCATGTCTGGGTCAGAGAGACATGCTTGGCTGATGGAGGTGTTTGGAGAGATGTGTTTTAGAGGCCGAGCTGACAGCACTGCCTGATCTGGGTAGGGGGGCGGGGGGAAGGAGGAGGCAGGCAGCAAAGCTGCTTGGGTTTCTAACCCACATCGTGCTTCCTAAACCTTCATTTCTCTGGCCTTGCTCTCTGCCTCACCTTGGCTGCCCTAACCTGGTTCTGGCAGATTCTGGGGTGTGTTTTACCTGTTTTGCCCTAGGAACATTCTCGGTCTGCCTCCTTGTCTCTTTCTGGAATGTTGCCATTGGATTCCTGCTGTCACTGGGCCTCTGATGCTGGAAGGGCAGGAGGCCACTTCCCTGCAGCTGTATCCTTTTCCTTCCCTAGGAGATGTGGCCTCCTTTGTGTTGAAGCTGGTGGAGGGCCTTAAGGGCCAGACGTGGGCCTCAGACTGGACAGAGGACCTTCGGCAAGCTGACCGGCAGAAGGAGCAGGCCTTTCGGTGGGGACCTGGTAGAGCGGACATGGGACCAGGGGTATTGTTGTGGTTTCCTGGAAGGCTTTGTTGCTGGCCCTGCTGACGTGCGCTGCTCCGTGGCAGGGAGAAGGGGTTGATGCCTGTAGCCCAGCACCTGAACCCAGTGCGGGTACTGCAGCTGGTGGAAGAAACTCTGCCTGACAACTCGATTTTGGTGGTCGACGGTGGGGACTTTGTGGGCACTGCTGCCCACCTGGTGCAGCCCCGTGGGCCCCTGTGCTGGCTTGATCCTGGTAAGGAGGGACCTCTGCCTGGGGCATCTTGCATTGTCCAGGCCCCTTTACACCCACCTGCTCTTGGTTTTCCTAGGGGCCTTTGGGACTCTGGGCGTTGGTGCAGGATTTGCACTTGGGGCCAAATTGTGCCGGCCGGATGCCGAGGTGAGTGAGGGTGCTGGAGGCTGGGGGCGGTGCGCTGTTTTGTGAACAGTGAACCACTCAACCAGCCTTGTTCCCTGCTCAGGTGTGGTGCCTGTTTGGAGATGGAGCGTTTGGCTATAGCCTCATTGAATTTGATACCTTCGTCAGGCACAAGGTGACCGAGCTGCCCTGAAGGAAGCTCAGAGCTTGGGATTCTGGGAGTGGTCATGAGGGGTGAGCAGGGCTAGGGAGGGGGCTGCTTCTGTCTGGCAAAGGTCCTGTCCCTATCTTTGTCCTGTGGTTAGCCTTAAAGCTGAAGGCTATGGCCTGGCCTCATCCTTTCTCTGCAGATCCCAGTGATTGCTTTGATCGGGAATGATGCTGGCTGGACCCAGATTTCTCGGGAGCAGGTGCCCTCTCTGGGCAGCAATGTGGCCTGTGGCCTGGCTTACACTGGTGAGAGGCTGCGGTTGGGTGGAGAGAGGGAGAAGCTGTTTTATGTTTTCCTCTCCTGGGTTGACTGCATGGTGGCCTGGGTCCCTGCCACCATCTGACTTGACTTCCCCTTTTAGATTATCACAAGGCAGCCATAGGACTTGGCGCCCAGGGCTTGCTCCTCTCACGGGAGAAAGAAGATCAGGTGGTCGAGGTGCTTCATGATGCTCAGAAGCAGTGCCGAGATGGCCACCCGGTTGTGGTCAACATCCTTATTGGGAGGACGGACTTCCGAGATGGCTCCATTGCTGTGTAGGGCCTCGTGGGTTAGTACCCTTGGCCTTCCCACCCCTGGACTGTGCCTAGCTGGTTTAGACTCTCATCCTTACCTGCCTTGGAGCTGGCCTATCAGGTCCAGTGACTCTACAACCCTCCCTAAAGACAGGGTGGGGCTGGGGTTGGGAGGTGTGGGTCAGAGCTGAGAGAGGTTCCCTGGCAGCACTAGAGAGCTCCTGGGCCTTTTCCTCTGTGGGCACAGCTACCCCTTCTCCCTTCCTCTCATGCGCACTGAATAAACCACCTCTGGTCCTTGTGGCCCCAGCACTCATTCCAGAACTTGTGCATATTGATTTATTGTCCACAAAGATGGAAGTGAGGGAAAGGGGGAGAGAGGAGGGGGCCTACTCTCCTGCTGGAACTCGGACCCACTGAGGCTCCATTATTGGGGATTTCAGGGTGCCTGGCCACTGCAAATTCTTTTGCCCTTAGAGGTCCGTGAAAGAGCCCCATACGCCTGCTCCAGACGTGTCCATGCACACTAGTCCTCACATACAGACACACACGCACGGAGGCAATAAATATGTTCCGTACCAAAGTGCCCCCAGCCTGACATTTCAGGTGGGGCCCCTCCGAAAGGGAGGTCTTGTAAGTGCTCAGTTTTTTCAGGGATGTGGAGGAAGAACTGGGGAGGGGAAAGGCCAGACTCTGCTATCTCCATTTCCTGGTTTGAGGCAATCATGGGGTTTTCCTTGGAAGAGAGGGTGGGGAAACCAGCTATTTTTCTAAAGACCCTTGGCTCCCCTTATCCAGCCAGAGCCCAAGATAGGGGCTTTCCCCTCACCCTGCCTCAGATAGCACCTCATGATAGTCCTTGGACCCTCCAGGGGAGGGAGAAGCAGAGTGCGGTGCTTAAAGCTAATACTGATTTGGTTGGCAGCAGCAAGAGGACTGACGGGGGTTGGGGGCGGAGGGGCAGGGGAGAAGGAAGTGGGGGCAGTGTCCTCTCACCATCCTGGGGTGATGCTCACAGTAACTGGTGTTTCCCTGGCCAAGGGGGAGGGGGCAAGAGAGGCCAGGCCAGCAAGCGGGAGACGTGCCTTTTGGCAGCAAGGGAAGAAGCCCTTGGTACTCAGAAAAGATGTCCCCAGTAGCTGGTCCCGAAAGTCCCCAGTCCCCAGCCTTCGCAACCAGTGCCCCACCACTGGGCACTGGAAACGAGGAATGATTCTCAGCAATGGGCTGGTCACTAGGCAAATCCCCAGCAACCGGGACGGTGGCCCGGGAGGCCCTGGCCCCCTCCGTCGCCAGGGCACCGCCTCGGCTGCCAGGAGTCCGGCCCTTCTTGACCGAGGTCCCGCACCGCCTGGCTCAGAGGCACACGTTGATCTGCTTGGAGAGCTCTCGCTCCAGGTCCAGGATGAGGGCGTCGAAGTCTTTGAGGTTCAGGTGCGGGTTGAAGGGTGCCTCGAAGTCGTCTTCGAAGTCCGCGGCGCCCGCCGGCTCGCCCACCTCCTCGTCCTCGTCCTCGCTGTAGCTGCCCGTCACGTGGTCGTAGTCCGGCCCGGACAGAAAGTCCCGCCCGCACGGCAGTAAGTCCCGTCCGCACACGCTCCAGTCGCCCGCGTAGCGGTTACTCGGGGGGCTCTCGGGGCCGCCCCGGCCGCGGGGCCGCGCCATCACTTCGGGGCCGGAGAGCGGCAAGTGCAGCGGCGGCTGCCGTTTGGGCCGCAGGTATGGGGCGAGGTCGGGAGGCTCCGGGGCCCCGCGGGGATCTGCGGGGGAAGAGCGGGGCTCGTGATTGGCCGCCTAGCTAACCGGGCCCCTCATTGGCCCGGCGGGAGACGGCACCTGCGACCGCATCGGGATTTCACTGGCCGAGCTAGAACTGGTTGCTTCGGCAACCGGCCCTCTGATGGGCAGGTTGAGAGGCAGGGTCTCTGACCGCGTCAAGCATGGATTGGCTCAATCAGAACGGGTTGTTGAGGCTACCAGGTACCGTTTACGCAAGGGGCCAGGCGAGAGGGGCGTGACACGTCTGAAATCCGGGACTCTGATTGGTCGCCCGGAAAGCATCCTTGCGGCGGCCTGGCCTGGATTGGCGGCGCGGGCCAGGGGCGGGCTCACCTGGCCAGGCCTGCAGCAGGTAGTGCAGCACCTCGATGTGGCGCTTGAAGTCCACTGCGTTGGTTAGGCCGGGGCCAGAGCTGCGGATGCGGGGCCTGGCAGGTGCCTGGCGCGCCGGCAGCAGCACGGGACCGAAGCACACGGCCAGGTTCTGCGGGGTCATGCGGTTGTGGGCGTGGAAGGAGGAGACGAGGCGCAGATGGTCCAGCAGAAGCGTCAGCGTGGCCTGAGAGAAGACGGTTGGGAATCATGAAGCGGGTGAAGCTGGTCCCCTGTCAAACCTGAAGGGAGGCTAAGGCGGCCCTTAGTCTCCAGAGTGGGGAAACTCGAGATTTCATAGCTGGTTGATGGCTGAGCTCAGGCTTTGATATTAGTATTATGATCTATTTTGCTGGAGGGGAGACTGAAGACAAAGGCATCTTAGCTTTGGAATGGCAGAGCTTGGATTTGAACCCTCCCCACTGTCTGTTAGGCAGGGCTAGTATTAATCCTGTTTTAGGGTTTATACCCTATGAGGATATTGAGGCACAGAGGGTCAGGACTTCTCCAGAATCCCACAGCCAGAACCTCCCTGGTGGTAGGTTTACAGACCTGTATTCAGAGCCTGCATTTTTGTGATATCCTGGCTGTGCAACCTTGGGCAACTCACTTAACTGCTCTGGGCCTAGGTTTCCGTAGCTATGAAGTGGGGATGCTAATAGCACCTACTTTGTAGGCTTGTGATAGTGTACATCATGGGCTCAGTGAGGGTGAAACACTCTCCTGATGTCAGCTCATTCAGTCCTGCCCACTCCCACCAGACCCAACTCACCCTCTCCACATCTGGCAGGCAGTTGAGGAGCCCACGGGTGCCCTCAGTGCTGGAAGGTGCCCTGCTTGGGGGTCCTTGGGCCATGGCCTCCAGCACCACCTGATAGAGGGGCTGGGTGATGAGTGGGGTGGGCAACTCCCGAAGATAATCCTTGAGGATGCCTGTGGACACAGGGCCCACTCTGGTCAGGGCACCCCTGGCTTCTGAGGCTGGAAGGGTCAGCTGGGGCTGGGAGGCGGAAGAGGAGGACAGGCACAGGAAAGTGAAAACAAAGCTAGACAGAAAGGGTGATGTCCCAGAGGGACCACAGGGACTCCCTTGAGGTGAAGTTTCAACAGGGAGCAGGCAGGGGACAGAAAGGGCTTGCTGACCAGTGATGACATTGATATCGGGATACAGGTCCTCAGAGAGGCAGACGGCTGCACTGTCCCGCTCAAAGGCATCCCGAAGCTCTTTCTTCACGGCTGCCGAGCCACACAGACGGTACAGTCCCACCACCTGGGGGTGGGGACAGAGAGAGATATTCTTGCCAGTGCTACAGACTGATCGGGGCCAGGTGGAGTGGGGTTGGAGGTTTGGGTGAGGGTGGCAGTGGGCTGAGGGGTTGGGGGGCTGGCTGTGGCTTCCCCAGCTGCCTTCCTGCTCTTCTGACACCTGTCATGGGGTCCCCACCTGGCTGCCTGAACAACCTGGCCCCGTAAACCCTCTGCTTGGATCATTTGTCCTGCCACCACCTTCCTTCTCAGCTCACTTGTCACCTCCTCTGGGAAGCCTTTTCTGACTATTCCAACCAGCATCAAGTCCTGCTTCAAGCTCTCCCAGCCTCAGTCTTGTCCCATCCAGTTTTACACTTGTGAGTTACTGGATTCATGTCTTTTCTTCCATCAGATTCTGAGCTCCGGTAGGTCTAGGACCATGTATTACTAAATGGATGGATGACCCATGGGTTCTGGGCTGGGTGCTGTGGTCTACAGAAGCCTCCTGCCCTTGTCTAAGCTGGGATTGGACCTAGGAGTGTCCCAGGCAGAGTGTATTCGTGGGGAAGGCCTGGCCTCTGTATGGTGGGTGTCCTGGGCTGTAGGTCTGAGGGCCAGCTGGGACGGGGCAGGGGGCTCACCCGCAGCCCTCGGCGCTCGATCTGCCCAACACACTTCTGGATGATGAGGGGCACCTGGCCCGGGGGGTTTTCTCGCTCCACCAGTAGTGGCAGGGGCAGCCCAAAGACTCGGGGCTCAGTTGTGCCTGGTGCTTCCTGCTGCTCTGACAGGGTCAGCTTGGCATACAACAGCCCCTGAGGCTCCAGGCGCACGGCCAGTTGCTGGGCCTGGCACCCTGAAGACACAAGGGCATCTGTGGGGTCTGGCCGCCAGGCTCCTATGCCCTGGCCCCCTGCTCTGAGCCACACCCCCACCCTGGACACTCTGGGGGTAAAGGCAGAGCTGAATCCTGTGCCAACCGCTCTTCCCTTGCAGCCAGGTATCCTACCTCGGAAGACTGTGGGTAGCAGCACAGTGCCCTGGGCGCAGGGCCGGTGCCGCCGGACACCAGGGTCCCACGCCAGCACCAGGGCCCGCAGTAGCCGGGCAGCCTCAAGTTCCAGGTGGAAAGTGTGATCCAGCCGCAGGAAGTCTGGCCCCCCTCTCAGTGGCCCCGTTCGGGCCCGGGCCACCCCATCCACCTGCAGTAGGCAGCAGAGGTCTCTTGGGGTGGCCCCAGGTGTTGGCCGCAGCCCCCCCAGCCCATACAAGTGCAGGCTGAGGCGGCCCCAGAGTGCGGCGGGGGGTGCTCGGGCTGTTGGGCCCACCTCATAGGGCCGGAAGGCAGTGGGTGATGGGGGCCCTGCTGGGCGCTCCGGTGAGTCCCCATCACTGAGGTAACCAGCCCGAGGGCCCCTTGTGGCCCCAGCCCCTGCTGCCCGTCCCGGGGTCCCCACACTGCTGTCCAGGTGGTAACGACTGATGACGGAGCCCTCGGGGGCGGCCCGCTCACGCTCTCGGCCAGCCCGGGTGCCCCGCAGGCTCAGTCGCCGCCGCAGGTCAGGCAGCTTCTTCATCTTCATGGAGAGGCGCCGAGCTGGGCCAGGGGACTTTGTACGGGAGGCTTTGGTTGGGGGGCTCACAGGGGCTGCGCCTGTAGAAATAGCAGATCTCAGAGTTCAGAAGCCTGGGCTTGGGATAGGGGTGAGGCTTGTGGTCATCGTGGGGAGCTGGAGGAATGAGGCTTGTGCTCACCTTGTGAGGCTGGGCCCTCTGGCTCAGCTGAGCCTGGTTGTGGTCCCAGGGGCTCTGATGCCAGGGGTCTGGAGTCTTCCTCGGGGATAGGGTTGTACCAGATCTCACCTGCGGGCTCCCCGCTGCCAGGTGCCCTGGGCCCCAAAGCAGCCTCTTCCGGTGGCTTGGCCCCACCCAGCACCCATCGTCGACTGCTGGGCTCCAGGCTCTGCAGGTAGGCCCCCCGAGCTGGGCTCCGAGATGCCTCAGGGCTTGGGGGCCCCTCTGCTCCAGCCTGGGACCCTTCAGGGGCCTGGGGTTCTTGCTCTGGAGGATTGGGCTCCGGGCGCTGGGCTGGGCGGCCTGGCAGAGAGCAAGGGGAGTGAGACCCAGCTACCCCTCTGCTGCCCCCAGTGCAGCCCCAGCCTGCTGGCTCTTTCCCCAGCAGGGGCCATGGCTGGGGTGCACACAGTACTGGCACTCACTCCACATGTTTGTTTGGAATGGGCGGGGGCAGGCCAGCAATCTCATTGGTTGCCAGCTTACAGCCTGCCCCCACTTCGTCCCTGGGGGTCCCAAATGGTGTTCCTCTGCCCTTCAGCCTCAGGGGTCCAGTGGGGTTTCTCCAGACCTGGGCCCCGCATTCTCAACTCTACCTCCCACCCCTGGCATGGAGCTCTGCCCCTGTCCCTTCTTACTGGGTGGCTTTGGGGAAGTTGCTTTCCATCTTTGAACCTCAGTGTCCTCCTGTGAAATGGGGGGAGTCAATGCCCTCCTCCAGGGAGGTATCAGAGAGCTCGGTGTGGGGACTGCTTCTTAGGTGTCCAAGTTATGGTCAAGAACGTAACCCACAGTGAAGGCTGCCTTGCTCCTTTCGGAAGACAACTAGTGCTCGGGCCTCCCTTAGCCCTCCCTTTCTATAGCGGTCCCCCCACCACCCACCCCTTGCCTGTCTTCCAGGCTCTGCCCCCACCCTGGAGTGAGCCCTGTGTCTCAGCCCAGTCCAGATCCCCATGGTCAATGCCTCGGGGACTCCCCTTTGCTCCATCCTCCCTTCTCTGACATCCTGGGCTGTTTCCTGTCTGTGTTTGTGCGTGGGCACCCCTGTCCCTTCTCTCTGCTCTAGGAAACTTGGGAATCTTTGGGAAGGGACGGGGGTGGGGGGTCGGCGGGGGGAGAAAGGTCAGATCCTGGAGTCATCAGGCCTCCTTCCTTTAACTCCTTCCTTCCTGGGACTTTCTGTCCCAGGCAGCTCCCAGTTCCTTAAGGTCTTGTCTTGTTTGCTGGTGGACTCTCTCATCTGGTCAACTCTGATTTCCAATGCCCTTGACTCTGTCTCGGGGGTCTCTATTAGTAGCATGTCCAAAGAGCTCTTTAAGTCACTTCAATGGCTCTGGACAAATGACCCAACTGTTCCGTGCCTCAGTTCCCCCTCCCATCTAAAAGTGACAATATCCTAGGGCTGCCTAAGGTGGGCGCAACTGCAGTCACTGGTTTATAGGAGGTTTAGGGGGTGGCCACTGTGGCTGATGCGCCGCCTCTCTCCCTCCTCTGCAGGAGGTGGCTACCCATCTTCCATCCCGGGTCTCCAGGGTGCAGGGTGTCCCAGCCTGGCCTGACTGGGCCCGTTTGCCAGTTTCCCAACTCCTCCTCCCCTCCGCCCTCCAGGCGCTCGGTCTCGGGCCCATTTCCTGTCAGGGGCGAGGCCCCCTCCCGGGCCTCGCAAGGAGCCCGCAGCGCTGGCATCCCAGGCCAGGCGCACATAACGGTTCGCGCCCCCTCTCCCCCCTGCCCAGCCCCTTCCTGCCAGGACCCCTGCCCGCTCTCGGTCCCCCACCCGGGGCCTCAGGGGGCTCCGCGGGGCTCCCCCCACCCCCTAGTCCTCCGCGCCTTGGGTCTCCGGGACCATCTCCCGGCCGGGGCGGGGTTCAGCGCCCCCTCCTCCGCCGCCTCCTCTGCTCACCGCGCTCCTTCGCGTCCGACTTTTTCCGGGGAAGTTTTTCCCGGCCCCGCAGGCGGGAGAAGGTTTTCCTGAGCAGCGGCTCGGCCATGCTGGGGCCCGGGCCGGGCCGAGTGCGCGCCCCGGGCTCCGGCCGCGCCGCCCCCCGCCCTCCCCGCCCCCCCCCGGCCGGGCCCCCCCCCCCTCCCCCCCCCCCGCCCCCACCCCTCTTGCTCCGCGCCAGCAGGAAGCGCATTCCGGGAATGCTTGGCCCAAACTTTTTTTTTCCCCTTCCCGCGGCTCGAGAGCGAGCGATGCTGGGATATGTAGTTGCCTTGGTCGGGTGGGGAGGAGATGGGGGCTCTAGGCTGCCTTGCTGGCTCCAACTGTAAATATCGTGGCACACTCCTGAGCCCTGTCTTCCCTCTTACCCACTCTCCTTTGGTAATCGAGCACAGCACGTCCTCTTGGATTTACTTTCAAAACGCATCCTGCACGTATTTCCACCTCTTTCCCCCATGTACTGCTCCAGCCTGGAGCAAGCCCTGGCCTCACTCCTTTTGTTCCATGACACCTCCTCTTCTTTAGTCTCCTGGACACCACTTGGGTGCCTCCCAATTTTCCCATCCCCCAATTTCAGTTACTACAGATGTTTAACAGACCATCTCCAAACTAGTGGTGTAGAAGCCATTTTATGATGCCGCAGATGCTGTGGGTAAGGAATTTGGGCAGGGCAGAGCTGACATTGATCGTTTCTACTCCTTGGTTGGAAAGGCTTTGAGGTTTAGGGGTAACTCAGCAATGGGGGACTGGAATCATCTGCAGGCATGTTCACTCACAGGGCTTGCAACCTATCACAGCTGAGGGCTGGGACCTCTTACGGGCTGTGGACCAGGACAGCTACATGGGCCTCTCCCTCTGGCCTGGGCTTCCTACCAGCAGGTCACATGTCAGGAGGGTTGGGTTTCCAGGATTCCAAAGTCAACAAGACCAAATCTGCATTACATTTCCTAACCCAGCCTTGGGTGTCATGTTGTGTCACTTCTGGCATCAGATTCAAGAGGAGGCGACATAGACCCCACCTGCTCAGTAGGCCTTATGTCAAGGTGACCTTGTGAAGAGAATGTGGGATGGGAGATATTGTGGTCATCTTGGAAAATTTAACCTGCTTCAGTCCTACATTCCGTTCTCCAGAGTGGATTTAAAAACCCAAGTCAGATTATGACACACCACTGCTGGAGAGTCTTTCCATGGCTGCTCACCCCACCTAGAATAAAGTGCAGATTTCCAGTAAGATTTCTGGCCTCATCTCCTTTGTTGTCCTCATTGCTCACCATCTCTTCCTGTCTGGTCCTCCTTTACACCAAACTGTATGTGTACCAGGCCCTTTGCACATGTAGTCTCCTGTCTGGGGAGCCCTGGTTCTTCTGAATTTGCCTCTTTCTCATCGTTTAGTTCCAAAAGCACCCCCTTTTTGAGTCCTCCTTGAGTCCCCACCCCTGTCCACTCATTATCACCTCACTGTGTTTCATTTCTTTGAACACTGTCCCAGATTGAAATGAATAGCTTCAGTGTTTGTTCTAGTTTATCTGGGTCCTTGTTGAAATGGGGACTCCACCATATGCATGTCTGTCTTGTTCACTGCTGAGTGTTCAGGTAGGAGATCAGGTGCTGGGTGCCAGAGGCCTGGCTAGGAGTGGGTGGCCAAGTGGCTTGCATAGAGTAGTTGTGTGTGTTTGCTAATTTTGTGTCTCAAAGTGGGTCTTTCTGTTTATTCTACTTGGAGTTTGTTGAGCTACTTGGATGTGCAGATTCATGTCTTTCATCCACTCTGGGAGGTTTTCTTGGGCCATTATTTCTTCAACTATTTTTTCTATCCCTTTCTCTTCTCTCCTTTTGGGACTCCCATTATACATATGTTTGTAGGCTTATCAGTGTTCCATGGGTCTCTCAGGTTCTGCTAATTTTTCTTGGATGTGTGTTTGGCAGGAGACATGCTGGAGAGTGGTGGGATGCACCCCAGGAGTCTTTGAGGTAGTCTTTGAGGTGGGGAGAGGTCAGGGTCAAGACAACACCTGTTCACAAGTCCCAGGAAGCGGGGACAGGAGAGGGGGACCCCTCAGGGTATGCCAGTACTTCAGAGAAGCTGGAGGCTGACATGGGGATAAGAGCAGCCCTTGGTCCCACCCATATCACATCAAATGACTAAAACCCACTCACACAGCATATCCATATTTACTTATTCATTCTTGGTAAACACTTTTGACGTTGTTTCTCTGATTTTCCTGTTGCATTTATGTGGCTCATTATTTAGCTCATCCAATTCACAGTTGGCTATGATTCTTTCTCAGCAACCAGAAATTCTTGGTAAGTGTTAATAAAATGGTTATGAATACTGAGTTTCACATTCTGTGTAGGTGGGCTTTTGGTAGTTGCTGTTGGGATTTAAGAGTGTGTGTGTGTGTATTCTCTTTCCCCCCAATGTCTCACTGGCTGCAGACATGATGTGCTGTATTTATGGTGCCTGATGGATAAATCCAGCCCTCAGAAAAATGGGGATTTGTTGAAAGAAGAAGTCCAGGTGGAGGGTGCTGGTGAGGTTTGAGCAGAGCTCTGCACATCTGTGGCAGACAGTGTGTGGATATATATCCTAGCCCCCTCACCCCTCATGTGGGATGACTGAGGGTTCATGTCCCACATCAACCCTTACAGGTCCCCATGGGACCGAGCTCCAGCTCCCCACACTGGAAACTTGAATGTCAGTACACTTTTTACTGACTTCCTTCCCTTCTGTTTCTCACTTCTGCACCGCCTCCCCCCCCACCTCCCTCTGCCTTCCAGAATTTCCTAGATCACTTCCCAAATAAACTCCCTGCACTTGAACCCTTGTCTCAGGGTCAGCTTCTAGAGGATCCCAAATGCAGACCTTCTTTCTAACCCTCAGTTTCCTTGTACATACAAAAGGAAGAAAACTCCCCCTGTTACCAAGACTGTGGGAGTGGGAATGATGGAGGCGGGGCATGTATCTGTGGGCTAAGCCTCCTGTCTGCCATCTCCCTGGGATCCTTAGTTCCTGGGAATGCAAGATGAAGAAGATCACGGGGAGCAGTCTTCCAGCTTTTGTCACTTCATGTTGTCCCTGTGCCTGAGGCTCACCTGTGTCAGGTACCTTCCAGGGTGAAGAGGCACTTGCCTGGCTGGGAGTCCGTCCTTAAAGAATCCAGGGAAGAGGTGCTTGCCCAGAGATGTCCACCAGGGTAGCATTGAGCAGCTAGAGGGGGAGAGGTGGCCAAGTCACCATGAGGCAGCTTCCTGAGGTGAGATAGGGTGTCACCTGGCAGGCATTTAGTGGGGCAGCTTATCTGGGCCAGAGCCTCCCAGTGGCCCTTGGCAAAGCCCAGCAGGCCACCCATGGAGTTGAAGCCCAGGGGCAGCAGAGCCCCTAGCCACCCTTGCGGTGCCCTCCTTCCATCAGCTGCAGGTCTGCTGGGCTCTCCTGCTGGTCAGGCCCCTGCACATGCCCAGGACACCTTCAGCAACTGGCCACCAGGAGCCATGCTAAGAGCTGCCATGGTGTCCAGCTTGCAGGATCTCTAGTTGTCCCAGAGAATGGGGAGGCAATTTGGAGAGGGGTGGCCAACCCATGGGCCGGGGCAAATGGCCCAGGGTGGGAAGGACCGGGCAGAGACCCCATGTCATTTCTTAGCTCCTTCCTCCTTTCTCCGAGGTCTCTGGGTTTGACTTCACTTCCACAGACATGCCTTGCCGAAAGTGCCTTTTTTTCCCACTTGCTGATCTACCTTTTGCCTCCCAGAGTCCCACATGGGGCTGCAGCATGACCTTGGGCAAGTCACTCACCTGGGAGGCCATTCGGCATGGTGGAGGGAAGGGTCAGGTTTTTGGGTCACACTACACTGCATTGGAATACTTCCTCTGCCCTTATCTAGCATATGACATTGGGACAGTTACTTTCCTTCTTTGAGTCTCAGTGTTTGAGTCTCCAAAATTGCTTTGAATCACCCAACAGAATCCCATGTATGGAGAAAAAAGTGTTATTGTGCTCTAATATTGACTGGGGTCACTCTGCTCCTTCAGATTCAGATAAATGGGCTCAAGCCCCTTCCAACACCCTTGCTGAGATGTTGGAGAATTACTAGATGATTGTTTACTCATGGACTCCTGTTATTGCTGAATTAAATAGCTTCATGGTGAGCTTGCTCTTCCTGGTTTCTAGGATGGGGTGCATGGGCTTCTTGCCTTGATTTCGCCAGGGTTCCCAGTTGTGTGACAGATTTTACTGAGGTTGGGGGAGTGGAGGGAGAGTTTACATTGCATATCACAGCATCTTAACCTTGACTGTTAGATGTCTCTGTTCCAACCCGGCCTACCTCCTAGAGTCTTGTCATTGCATTGCCTCCCCATCCATTCCTTTGTTCATCCATTCATTTGTTCATTCATTCATTTGCTCAGTCAACAACTATATTTTGAGTGGCTGCTGTCTGGGTTTGGGCAAGATAAAGCAAGAAAACATGGTTTCTCAGCTCTCAGCTCATAGTTAAGTGGGTGAAATAGACATTCACCAGAGAATCACACGAATGAATATAAAATCACTAATGTGATGAGAAAAATGAGGACTAGTGAATGTATTTGGGCACCTGATACAGCTGGGGTAGGGAGTGGGTGAGAGGCTTCCCTGAGGAAGTGGGATTTGCCTTGAAATCTCAAAGCTGAGGAGACATTAGCTATACAAATGTCCTGTGGCACCATCCATCCCTTCATTTTCTGGTCCTAGGATTCAGCCCATTTCACCTCTCACTGTTTGTTTCCTGTTCGTCTCTCTGCTTCTTGTCACTCCCATTTATGTGGACCAGGATTTGCAAAATAGAGCCTGTGGGCCAAATCTGGCTCTTGAACTATGACCTTTTTAAAAAATTTTAAAATGGTTGGAAACAAATCAAAAGAAAACATTTCATGAGCTACTTTTGATAACTTTGATAATTAAAACTTCAAACCTAGTGTCCATGAAGGGAGCCTTAGTGGTAACCATAGGATTAATGTGTCCAGTAATATGTAATGTTAGAAAGCTCACACTGGATGGCAGATTCAAGACAGAATTTTCTAACTCTCAGATTAATTAGTTTTTTTCCTGTGATCCTG